TAAGAAATGCAGAAGAGTTAAAGCATTTTTGATGCATGGAAATTCAGGTAGCCAAGTGATTTAAACAGTCCAATGGTGCAGCCAATTCAGTTATACTTCACAGACGTAATTATTGTTTTGGGGTGTTCCTTCTTGAGGTTCATCGTTTGAATTTGAAATATCACATTAATTAATTGCAATTTTTGAACAACTAGATCAATTTTTTAACCTATTGTTTTTGTAAACAATCAGATCTAAATATTCAAGTTCTGAATTGTACATATTTCACGACATTATGATTCCATGAGATATGAACTAATCTCCATTATAGATAAGATTTTATTTTGATAAATCGCACAGTGTTTACAGTTATATGAACTGATATAATTGTAAACACTGTGCGATTTATCAAAATAAAATCTTATCTATAATGGAATTATACTCTACCACAGTGCCCAAGTTTTATACTTATATCAATGAACTAATCTTTTTGTAAGAAAAATTAGCCATATCGTCTATTTACTCAAGCTTAGTGAACTCGGCCTTAACCTTTCCTTATCCATTCATATCTATAACCAACTTTTGATTTTGTTGCAGTTTAATGTCTATATTGGGTGAGTATATAAGCGAACTCCCAGACGAATTTATTTCCCTTTCGTTTCCGCCTCTTTGATAGGACATAAAACAAGTGGGCAACTACAATTTGAATTTTCTCAGGTAGTTGGTGCTGTCCCCATTCTTGTGTGATTTTGTATTGCATGTTTAAAGAGATACCGTAATAGTTTCAAATGTTGCGTCTGACTGTTTTATAGACATATTTTAACACACCCAGAATATCTAATGCACCACTCGATAGACTATTTAAGAAAACATCTTGCGATTACTTTTGTAGCTAACCTTTCGACTCACTCAGATTTTAGTCTGTACAACAAACGTAACTGTTCTTATCTATGTTTATATATATATATATATATATATATATATATATATATATATATATATATATATATATATATATATATATATATATAAACACGATTGTACAGCTATGCGACTGGAATCATCACGAAGAGAATATTCTTCGCCGAAATTTTTAATTTACTGTCTCAGTGGGAATTATCGATTCGCCTTGTTCAAGAATCTAGCAACGCAAAGGACCCGATGCTCATTAGTTACTGACTACAGGACGGAGTTTCCTTGAATTTCTAGAAGTCCAACAAGCAGGGGTAAGGGTGAATACTGGTCGATGACATTGATTGGCAGTGGCGACAGAAATCACGAACTGATAGAAGTTGGAATTCACTGGGCCATTGAATTTCGTTCCAGAGGGTGAATGGTCAACGAGCTCGCTTGGTAACTTGAAGGCCCTGGATTCGACTCCAAGTGCGGCCAAGGTTTCATACTGCCAAAGAGTCACAAACTGGGATGAAACGGCTGTCCTCTACACAGTGATGCTCTAAATGATACCAATCCATAATCAAACTTGAGACCAGGTAAATTTCTACAACTTAGATTTTCCCGTCGATGGATTGAACCAAAGTGATCAGTCTCGGTCAAGTTACATGAAAATCTAAATTAAATTAAATAAGTAATAAGACCAGTTGCACAATAGGTGGCTCTCATGGCCCAAGTGGTCTAGTGGATAACGCTTTGGCATCTGGAACTATGGGTACTGGATTCAAGCCTCGGTGAGAACACCATCACTCACTGGGGGATGCATTCACATCCGACTGACGAGTCCCAAATAGGACGAAACACGCGTCATGGATTCCACTGCTAGTCACCATTTATCAACTAACTTCAAAATATCATCCAACTAGTTTACTACTATTATCATCAGGTTTCGTTCTTTAGAAATTCTTGGAACTATCACAAATATTGTTTCTTTATAGAGTAGAGACACATATTTAGTTCAGATATGGCCAAATATACTCAGAAAATTGATGCACTTGCCCGACTGATAAATAGCTAAAGTTTCAAGTCACATAAATTGTGAAAAAAAGTTCATTCAAGCGTAACAAATAATTTCAATGCTTCAACTTCAGTGAAAAAAATAAATTCATTAAGAGGACGAAGTCATACTGTAACAATAGAAGGCAAGACATGGAAACCAAGTTATATCTCCCATGAATCAAACCGCTGTTTATATATCTACATTTCATATTCGTTAACCAATCACTGAGCGCTTGGTTTCGGTTTACGTCAAACGACATGAAATACAATGATCAAAAATGCATAGTATTCTTTTGTTAATGCAGTATATAACCGTGGGAAATGTATTCTGACTCTAACATGAAATAGAATGTTCAAATAGATATATTGTATTCTGCTGTTAATGCCGACTTGAACTGTTGGAATATGTGAGCCTAATACTCCGTTAGCAGATATTGTCTGTATCACACCACTACCTTTTATTCTGTTAACCTTATCAAATTGTTGTATACAGACTGTTGCAAATGTGATATAGTTCAGGTAGTGAAAAGACTGTCTAATTTTCTGTCAGCTAACTACTACAAGGACAGGTTTAAATGATGGCAGACTTCAGATCGTGAAGAGATGAGAGATTATAAGCAGTCAGTCGTGGGCCCAGGTGAAGGGGACAGCAGAAAAAAGTGGAGATGTGTTACTGTAGCCCCATGTTCCACTCGGAACTCAAATGAACGATAGTAATAAATTGTCCTGTATTCTCTGAAAACGCAGCTGCACTAAACTATCGAAGCGTTACAATAAAATGAGTACAAAACATCATAGACTATGGTGGAATACACTTAAAAAGCTGCTTATTTCACTACTAGACTCATTACCTCGTGGATGCCTATTGCTAAGTAGAACTTAGCTTTCTTTCAGAGTGGTTCAGCTTCGAATACGGCTTGACATACTTTAATCTAATTAGTATATTCAGTGGTCAGAGAATAAGTGTCTTATACCCTGGTAAGTAATAAAAGTCTGTTCCATGCAACTGATACTTTAATTAATTTCGAGGATCTTTGACAATGAGTCTGTTTATGAAGAAATCTACTCTGACTGAAATCAATCAAACTATTCACAGCCTTGAAAAAAATAAACCGAGTGGATTGAAACCACAGTAGTAAGTAGCAGTAACTTCTAACACTTCGGAACAAAATTCTCTGTATGTGTAATGAGACCATAACTTATCGTACATCTTGTTTCATTTTCGCAGATGTCTTTACAATATTATACGTAATCTCTTTAGAAGCATTTCCAGCTTCTATGCCTGATTTCCCACAAACTGGAAGATATGCAAGTGAAAAGCAACAAGCTGGCAGAACAAGCATCAAAGGTAGGAATTCAGGTGAACATAGAGAAAACAGAGGTGATGATGATTCCTGGCCAACACCACCAACAACAGACAACAATCAGCCAGCATAAATGGGAGGAACCTGAAAGATACAACCTCCTTTACCTACCTACCTACCCTACCTGGGAAGCATCGTTTCAACTACAGGCGGAACTGACAAGGATATCAAAGCAAGAAACGGAAAAGCAAGACAAGCTTTCATTGCTTTCAAGTATGTGTGGAGATAGATCAACAGCACTCAGCATCAAAAATGAGATCCGGATTTTCAACTTTAATCTGAAGTCAGCGCTACTATACGGATCAGAGACTTGGCGCCGCGTCACGAAGGGCACTTCGAACAAGCCACAGACTTTCAACAACAGTTGTTTTCCTGGCTCCATACTCAAGATCAGATGGCCGACCAGAAAAGATCACCAACAGGGATCTCTGGCAATCAGCGAATCAACCAGGAACCGTTTGTGGAACAAATTGGCAGGATGAAATGGAGATGGAATTGGCTGGCCATACTCTGAGGAAACCATCAAGTGACATCACTAGACAACCCATTGCTCGAGTGGAAGCCGAATGGGAAGCGGCGAGTCGGTTGTCAGAGTGAGGGTGACTTGGAGGAAGTCATGTGAGGAGGAAATGAGAGCATGTGGGCAGACTTGGAGCGGGGTGAAAACGTTGGCAGAAAGCCGAACGCGATTGGGACTTGCGGCTAAAGCCCTATGTTCCTCTAGGAATTAAAGGAAACAATAATAATAAATAATAATAATTAGAAGCATTTTAGTGTTGCATCTATTCAACAACTCAACTCATTATTAATGTGAGTTGTAGGTGGGGTGACAAGAAGACGTTTATGCATAGTCGAGATAAAGCAGGACTGTCTAACCCTATCATCATTACCACAAACACCACGGCGGTGGCCTGCTTAAATCAGCGGGCTAACTAAATTTTCTACCCATCAAAGAGCACAGTTTTTACTCCGTTTTAAATTCTTCTAATCTTTTAATTACGACAGTGAGTTGCTATCTATACTTGGGCACAATTACGAATAAGTTCCCACCTGCAGCTAATTTTTCCAGTGAAATGCAGGAAGAGCATAATTCGGCAAAGTTAAACTTTAAGCACCAGTCATATGTGAGACTTTATCAAAATAGATGTTCACCCACAATGGAATTATACTCTACCACAGTGTACAAGCACTATTTTGTATCACAACACAGTAATTCAACCACATTCTATGCATGTAATTATTTAGGTCTTCTAAACATAATCTTTCTTGAACCTAACCCTAACATGAAAATATCCCTCAACTAACTGTAATCTAACTCGAACCAACCCTAATCTCGCCTTTTTCAGTAAGCGTTTCAAGGTCATTGGTGCGGTCCCCCCTCCATTGGTAGTCAATGGTGCTTAAAGTTTAACTTGGCGCATAGTTCCGACAGAGCAACATTGCTTCATATGATATATTATCAACCATTATGTTATTTGAAGATTCTGCAACTTGCAATGAAACTCGCTTACGATTGATTCCTTATTGTATATAAACGCATTTTTCAGAATAAAGCTATTATTATTATTATTAGCATAACCCCCGGTTAAGATGAATGATAGTTGTCAGGGAACCCATAACTCCTGGAGATGAGATGACGCCACTGAAAACGCCAGTCTGCCTCCTCCCCACTCCATCCCTCTCGCTCCCCCCAAAAAGGCGAAAAACAGATAAACTAATTTATTTGGATAAAATTCTTTTATTTTAAACAAACATACAAACAAATGCATGAATAATGATGTTTAACAAACATAACATAAAATCGAAAGAGACTATAACACTCAATAAATACCTAAACTTCATAAGATTATAAAACCCACATACATGCATGCAACAACAGCACATCATCTCAGAGCACACGACTACTTCACCAGTTCACAATCATCAAATGAGTTATAGGATATGTGAGAGAAGAGAGATTGGGTGTTATTCTTTCGATAATAATAATAAATAAAGTCAAACAAAACAAGATCTAGAATGAAATGAGACAAATATTCAAATAAATAAAAAAACACATAAAAACTTGGCTTTGAATAAGTTAACTAGTCGGTGATACACACGTACACACACACACAGATACACACGAAAAGGTTTGATATTATCAATCAGAAAAAATCAGAGAAAAACAAAACACACCTAAATGCAAATAATGTTTTTGTAAAAATGAAAAAGGTGGTCAAAACAAAAAATAAAACCTATTATGAGGAAACAAACAACTATAACTTTATCATTATGATTATAAATATTGTTAATATTATTTATTATTGCCTATCGTTATCATTCTCATGTTAAATTAGAAAAAAGGAGACAATTCAAAAAAATATATAACTATTAAGACATCAATATGCTTAAGCATAGAGAGGGAGAGAAAAAGAGAGAGATAAGAAAATATTAGAATAGACACTATCATGTGTGTAGAAATATGCTGCACGTATTTATTGACAAAACCAGTAGTAATATTAATAATAGAAATAGTAGTACTAGTAATAACAACAGTAGATACTGAGATAAGAATATTAAGAACAATACTATTCCTAATATAATAAATTATTAAAATTACATTTATTGAAAGAATAAAAATAGAAATTATTAAATAAAATAAAAATAGTCTCCATCAAAAACACAATATATGCTATGCTATGAGGTGGTGATGATGATGATAATGATAATCATAAAATGGAAGTAATCAATCATGAAAGGAAAAATCACTAGACTGTGAATAGTAATAATATTATAGTAGCAATAAAAGGGTTTAAGATCCGCCCCCCACCGTCCAACCGGCTGATACACACACTCTTGGTTGACATTTGAATTAAATACCTAAACGCTTAGCTAAACGTTGTCGGACAGTTGTAGTCTGTTTAGTTCGTGATTTCTTCACAGTGGCGACAGAGGCAGGGGATGCTGAAGCACCTAAAAAAGCAAGGAGAACAATAAAAAGTGGTAAAACCAAGAACAAGAAAAAGCAAACAATATGTATATGAGTAAATTTTTAAAAACAATTGTGGAGGCCGCCGAATATAATATAGTTTAGGTTCGGCTATATATATATATATGTCTGTTTTCGACAGAGAACTTTGCACATATGTGCGGAAGTTCAAGTCGCCCATGTAGCACACAAACAAACAGAAGAAAGTACAAGAAATGCATAATACAGACAGTAAACAGAGGTGTCAGACAAAGGAAGAGTAATAACGAAGAACAAAACAGTTTCATTGGAAATCATAAGTCATAAGGAGTGGATGTATCTGCGCCAGCCATTGACAACGATCACTTTGAGCCATGTCACCAATAGTTTCCAACCATTGGTTTTTACCGTCCCGAGAACCCCAACCCAACCAGTCAGGAAGTCTACACCTTCCTACGTGACTGGCTGGCTTTCCAGACTGACCCTATGTCAGCTAACATTGCTCGTCAACCGAGGAAGGCGATGACTAGGCCTGGATACGTAACACATGTCCTAACCATCTCAGTCGATGTAATTTCACAGCCTCGTCGATTGATTTCCCCTCCTACCTACCTAGCACTCGACCAAAGCCTAACCTCAATATTCCTCACCTTATTATACCACTTCACACGGGAGATAGAGCGCAGGCACCTATGATCAAAGATATATAAGCGGAGAAAATGTAAACGTTTAAGATGATTGAATTTAGTCATGTAGATGATAAAAGATCAATTGCATGAGCTTGAATGACCTGACTCAAAAAAGTATTCTTCGCAGGTGAAAAACTTCCTCATCCTATTATAGGCTTCCAGACCGTAGTTGTAACGAACTTCCGGGAATAATTTGAGCACCGAGTCAGATTGATTCATTATAAATTACTTAAATTAATCCCATCGTGTTAAGAAAATCTCAAAGAAGATTTTTCTGAATGTTTCGCTGTGTAAGCCACAGCTTTTTCAGCAGATTTATTCGGATTTTTATTAATCATCGAAATATGTACATAATCCAAGGACTATAATTATTAGCATATCCCCGGTTAAGATGCATGATAGTTTTCAGAGGAGCCTATAAAAATCCGAATAAATCTGTCGAAGAAGCTGTGGCTTACACAGCGAAACGTTCAGAAAAATCTTGTTTTGATTTTCTTAACACCCTGGGATTAATTTAAATAATTTATAATGAATTCCTCATTTTATTTTTTTTTTGATTTACAGCTTGATTCCACACTGTATTTTTGGTACAAGTATCGAATTTTCAGCATGGATATCGGTAGCCAAAATTTTGCAGGCCAACCATAGATATCAGGTGTGCGTCGGTGCGGGCTCGAACCCCGGACCATGTGCATGGTCGGCGAGAGTCCTAACCACTGTGCCACCGACGCCTACCTTTCATTAATCAAACAAGCCGGAGAGTGTTCAGCTTTGGTGAGAGCTGGCTGCTAGTCAAAATTGGTGGACAGTAATTTACGTCAAGATTTATGTCAGAAATATTGGTCGTGAGAAAAATGGGAACAAAGACTTTGCGTAGGCGGATACAGTTAGCATATAGATGAAGTGACATTCACGAAACAGCCACAAAGAGATGAAAGGTTAACTTTCCGTGAGAAACAACCAATCAGAAGACTGTGTTTGTCTACTAACAATAATCTATATTAATGTACATGAAAATCTATAAATATGTGTTGATTTCTTTAACAAACGATCTGTTTCCTGGCCCTTGTTTTCTGTAGTTTTACACAGCTACGTATTTCTAGAGAATACACGCTTACAACTTCCAATATAATCAGTTCCACAAAAGTATGTTAAAGAGTCGACGCATACAGTTAAGTTCTTTTTTATAAAAGATTTTATTTTATCACTTGAATTCATCCAACTTCAATCTCTATCCTTATTCATCATAATCAACAACGTACTTTTAGTTTTTTAGACAACACTTGAATTAACCTTGATAGTAATTCAATTATTTAATAATCCTTTCAAAAATTTTAACATTCATCCACTTCAACTCCATCCCCTCCTTCTCCCCTTAAAAATCATATTATTTATGTTTACTCTTATCAAGTAAATACAATATTAAAAAAACAACACTATCAAAAGTGTCAGGTTTATGGAAATCAAATGTTCATTGTAACTGAGTTCTAAAGTGGAGAGAAACACTTATTCATAATGCTATTTGGCATATTTGATTAAACATTGATGAGTATTGAGACCAGTCCTTTGTCAGATGGTATAATAGAATGAGCAGTATGTAGGTTAGGCCTCCATCGATCGCTAGGTGAGAAAGAGAAATCAATCAATCGACGAGGTTTTCAAGCAGCTGCATCTATTGAGAGAGATGGCTAGAACATAAGTTACGCACGCACGCACATATACACGCTTGCCTAGCCACCACCTTCCTCGACAGCCAATCTTAGCTGACTGACATAGAATGGATCAAGTTGGAAAACAGCTAGTGGTAGTGGCAGTCGTGATCAAACCAAAACATGGCTTCATCAGTCAATGAAATCCATAACAGTGAGTTTAAGACACCAATCACCCAGCCAGTCAGTCATGTAGGGAGGTGTAGATTTCCTGACTGGTTGGGTGGGGTCCTCCCGATGGTAAGAACCAATGTCTGAAGACAATTGGTGATATGACTCAAGATCGTTCTCAGTGATGACGCAGATGATTTGTGATTTATAATGCCCAATAAAGTTATATCGTTCGTCTATATAACCACCATTCTTTTTCCCTCACTCACACTTCTGTTTATTATATCTCTTTTGAATCTCTCTTTACTCTCTTCTTTTGCTTTGTGTGGCACATGGAGTGTGGGAATTCGAACTTCTGCACATCTGTGCAAAGTTCTACTTTGAAAACAGTCAGTCAGTCAGCCAATCCTTTGTTGGGTGCAGATTTAATTCTATCAGTCAAGTTTGTAATGTGATAACCATGCTAAGTGTGACTCACTGCTATTATTGTGCACTCTGAACTGTTGTTATTAGATGGCTGGAGGTGATCAACAGGAAGCCTTTGACCTAGGCTTCATCTTTGTTGGCACTCGTCAGCAACGTATATATCGGCAATCTTGAAAAAATATATGTCCCTTGCTGAGATTTCAACCCTGGCCGTCCAGTGCGGCAGTTAGAGATATTACTATTGAGGAGTTTTACGAGCTGGTGATTCATCTCCTGTAGGACTTGTAATGGATACTTCAATGGGACACTGGGTGGTAATTAATATCATGAATCTAACCATTTCTTTGGCGTGGACTGAATTTTATCAGTTGAGTTTTCAGTGTGATCACCATGCGACATGACTCGCCATTATCGTGCACTCTAAATTGTTGTTGTCGTCACACGCTGCGCCTTGCTGACGAGTGCCAACTAGCGCGAAACCTAGGAGTCTATTTCTTCCTACAGATAGCCTTTAACCATTTAACAACCATTTGGTTTTTGGAAGGATATCGGGTTGGAATAAGAAAGACAAAATAAATATCATACAAAATATTACATATATCTTCTGAAAACAAAACCACACAACTAATACACCTATGACTCATGGTTGCTATCGCACATGCATTAGTTGTCTCGGTGCGTAAACTGCAATGACGCACTGACACACACACTCACAAACAAGAGGAATTTCATAAACCAAAACGACGAAAAACGGAATTCAACAACAGTTCCTGAATATGAAAGGCTTATGAAGATAAAATATATCGAATTCTTAATTAATAAGTAGCGAAACGTCAAAAAGAAAATACTTTTCCATCGTTCCCTACTTCCTGCCTTCCTCCTACATGCTACAATCTCCGAAAACTAGTGGAACAGATTTGTTAAATGTTTCAATTTTGTTTCTCTATGCATGCGATGCAACGCTGTAGAAAAATCAAAAGTTCTGAGACTGAGAGAAAGAGAAGGAATTTTTAATAAAAACACGAAGATAGCAATTATAACCCTGTAACACTATGTACAACCAATAGACACACACACACACTGACAAACATGCACAGGAACACAATCAATGGAACACAGTGTAAAAGGAGGAAAAGTGCAAAGTAAACAATGAATAACAATAACAACAACTGAAAATTCATTTTCATTGCATGGTGAAAAATATTGTAGCACAATATTATTTAAACTTTTGTTGCTATGCTGCCGAGTAACTATGACGTGAGTATAAAAAAGCACAGATATAGAGGTATTTTACCAATCAATCAAAATTTGGTAAAATAAATAACATGATGGTATGATACACAGTACTACAAGGAAATTTATGCTACAAAGAAAAATGGCCAATTAACAAACTAGTCTGTAGTGGAGTGCAGTGGAATGTAACAGTAAAAATAATATCAGCATTAAATAAAAAAATAAACACCCACGTATACAGATACATATGAAACACTAACTCACTCATACACATGCACATACAACCTCCAACAGTGACTGACATGATATGTTTTATCGTCATCTGAAGGTCTCATCAACTGAGTCTTAGTATATCTTAATTAGTGATGCCAATAACAATGGAACCAGATAAGTTATAGTTTAAATCAATAAAATGTAATGTAATCCGATCAGTGTCATTATTATTGTTGCTGTTGTTTGAGTTTCAAATGGAATATCTTCATAGTACTTGGTTCCTTGTTATCTCCACAACTGCTAACAAGCTTTTATTTCTTCGATATATGATGTCCTCTATGTCACCTTCGGACATCCAACTCGTCGTTTTCAATTTCGGTTCCACTCGAGGGCCTTGGGGTATGTGATACCACAAAACAGTGATTTCAGTGTATGTTATTTATTTGTTAGATATTTAGTTCTTGGAGGATTCATTGTCAGACTACCTTGGTGCTTATCCTTTCCGGGGGTAGTTATCTGATCTTCAGTATTAAGCAAAGGCAGTTGTGGATGAAAATTTGTCATTAGATGTTATCTTTTTGCAGTTGTATTTTCTCATTTCCACATTTTCTTTAAATGAATCCATTAGTCTGACCTTTAGGCATATGAATTCCTGTATATTACTTTTAGATTCAACCCCTTTATATCATATTTGCTGATTACAGAATTTGAATTTTGATACTTAAAACACAAGGGGTGCAGGGGGAAATAACAGGGATTCGAAAAGTGACCTATGTAGTCGTCAACGAAGCTGTATGAGATCGATTTTTAGCACTACTACTGAAACAATGATTAATTTTTGGACTCCACTGCTGTACACATACATCAATCACTTACAGAACAATCAAGAATTCAGAAATTTCAATACATATGAGATGTTTATCCTTCTCAATTCTAGTAAAATAGGAACAAATTGATAAAACTGTAATACTTGAAAATTAGTCTGATGCTCACCAGAGACAAGCCTTGTTCAGGCAGTTAACCTGGGGTCCTAGTGGGAAGCCGTGACCAGTAGGATACAGCAGGTTGAAGATGAGGCAGTAACTTATTGAAGAAGACACTGCGAAGTGGTCGCGCTATGTCGTGAACTGTCAGAAGTCAGAACTCAAGAACCATTGGATCGGGTCCCAGTGGCTCAATGGTCTACGAGTTCGCCTTGTAACCAGAAGGTCCTGGGTCCGAACCCCGGTGGGCGCGTACTTCTGAGGAGTCCCAAACTAGGACGAAACAGCCGTCCAGTACTCCCAGGTTTTCAAGTGGTTCTCTAACTGATGTCAGCTCATGGTGAAATCCTCCGTGCAATCAAACAAAATCCCTACAAAACCAATACTTGACAACTGTAAATGTTTAAAAGACGCTAAATGACCAACAAGAAATAAACTTTATTAAACAACACAATAACCATATCAACCAACTGACCTCCGGCTCTTTTCAAAGTACTCGAACTTGATGATGATGATGATGAAGATGCACCAGCTTCACTTAGCAAAGGATGCTAGGAAGAAAGAAGTATAAAAGAAACATTTGACAAGTGGTATTTATTGTTGAAGTGTTGTAATTATTTCCTTACAAATAACATTCTTCTCAACATAACAGTGACTATTGCGAGTAAACTGACGAAGAAAGTGTCTACACACTTGTGTATAAATGTTTGCCACAATATTAGCTTGTCATAAGATTACCTTACTATTGTATGTTGCGTCTAGTGATTAGTTTTATAATTGTGTGCTATTTGGAACGTGGCAACTCGAACTGCTGCACATCGGTGCCAAGTTCTATGTTGAATCCAGACAGACAGACAGTTTTAGAATTTGGTTTCTAAATTTAGTTTCACAAGAAAATTGACCAGCATCCGATATAAGGCCATATATCTTCTCAGCATTCAGCTTCGTCAGTTGAGAGGTGGAAAGTCGAAATTAAGGGTTGTTGCGAAAGGTCTAGATGGAAATGTGTGTTCAACTTGGCCAGTTGCGACAATTGTATACAATACCAATCCAAACAAACAACCTGGCAAATGACTTCGAAAACCAAACTAGTAGAAGTTAGAATTATTGGATCAGTAGATTCTGCCCTAATGGCTGAATAGCCGGTCAGCGAGCTTGGCTTCGCAACTTGGATGTTTCAAATTCGATCCCTCTTGGGATTGATGCCGAGTACTTAGGAAGATTTAGTCATGGACTGACATCGGTTACAGAACCATTGAAAAACCAAAACTTGAATATCAGTCGGATGCTCACCAGCGACTCGCTCAATTCAGGTAGGTAGTTGCCTGGGTTCTAGTGGGAAGTCGTGACCAAAGCCTCAGGATGGTCGGGGGTGGGTGTCTTGCGCTGCGGGTTGGCCACCCCTCCTGCGTCTTACATAGCCTCTCCTGAGGAAGTCCTACTCACTGTCTTCACGTGGCGGAGGTGTTTTTCACCGAAGTGAGAGGGCAAAAGCGGATGCCCGGCGCTCTTCACCGGGTTGACTAGTCCATTGGATGACAGTCTAGGGGAGATGGCTAAACCCTGATTCCAAACCTCCAACGACTGGCGTATGAAGCTCACCGGAGTTCACCGGCAGACGTATGGACAAAGGGCTTATTGGATGCCCTGGATGTCTGACCCCATTCAAAAAGGCGTATGAACCGGACTCCGGTCACCGGCTGCCAATGGATAGTGAACTCAGTACTCCACTCCTACTGCCTTGTAGGTCACACTTGGTTGTGTAAAGGCTAGAGCTGCACTCTCAAACAAAAGGCCGAGCGATCCTGGGGACATCACTCGTACCCAATTCCCATGAAACTTCATCAACTCTCTTACAAACATTCGAGATGTTCATGAAGCCGGTTCATCCTCCTGTAGGACATAGCCGAAGTAAAGAAAGAAAGAAGAAGTGACCAGTGGGGTAAAGCAGGTCGGGTGTGAGGAAAAATACTCGACACCTATAACATTCGCTAGTGGTCATGTCATATCGTGAATTGGTAGGAGTTAGAAATCATGCGCTGGCCACTCCATAGGGTTCCAGTGGCTTAATGCTCTATGAGCACGCATTGTAACCGGAAGGTCCTGAGATCCAGCCCTGACGGTGGGTGCGTACTATGAAGAGTCCCAAGCTAGTCTGATGAAACAGTTGTCCAGTACTCTCAGGTCTTCCAATGGTTGTCTAACCGATGTCAGTCCATAGTGGAATCCTGTAACCAATCAAATCCCTGCAAAACAACACTTGAATACTAAAGATGAGTCCAAAATCAGGAAAAAACGACTGTCGCGTGTGTTGTGGTGTTCAATGGTTCTCTTCCTGAAGTCGGTTTATGATCAAGCTTAAAATCGATTACATGGTCCCTCCTTTTAATATTCATTCGACTAGTGAGTTGCTATGAAATTCCATTCTCATGTCTTTTGAGTGAGACTTAGGATTACGGTTTCGTTGGGATTCAGGGATAAGTTTAGATTTAGGGTTCAAGAATTAATATACGATTTAGTGCCCATTTTGATGATACCTACATTTTACAGCATTTTAAAGATTATTAATTAGTCTGATTAAATCAGTTTCTATTCATCATTTATTCGTCTTAAGTACGCTTTTCTAATGAATAGTGTTTTCTTATCATGTGACTATCCTAGCTGGTTATTTTATAGGTTGTCGCTTTGGGTCAGTATTCCTAGCAGTCGCCCTATTCTCCCCTGTTGAATACAAGAGGGCGCTAAACTATATATCTGCAGTGGCTCCCCAGTTGAGCACATATAGTGGAAATGTTAAATGTGTATACTGCAGGGCAGTCTGCTCTAGGCTTCGTTAAGGACGTGAAACAGGCAAAACCGACGAAACGTATGGGGAAAATCACAGGTTCTGAACTATGTATGTCTTCGTATTTTATTATTCCTATAAGGTAGCTAGCATCTAGTACATAAAAATAAAGTTAGAAAGTTGTTTGACTTTACTAACCATCACATTATTCTTTATTAAAATTTCAAATTAAGTTAACTCGATCAAATACGCCCATACTTACCAGTGATGTTTTGCCTGTCTTTAGATTTGGAAAAATAGGACCTGAATCTTTTGACTTCCAGCTACCTGTTCCACATCGACGACGTGTAGGACCTAAATTGAAAGTTAGTAAAAGTACAAGAGAAATTTAAACACAAATAATACACAACGAAAACAAGCACAAAAATATAAAACCAAATAGTCTTCTAATAGTATTATATCATAATCATAAGTTAATTCAACTATTATTATTGATTTGATGACTGACTGACTGTTTTCAACGTAGAACTTTGCACAGATATGCAGAGGTTCGAATTCCCACACAAAGCAAAAGAAGAAGAGAAATAATAAACAGAAGTGTGAGTGAGGGAGAAAAAAGTGGTGGTTATATGCAAGAAGAAGAATATAGTTTTATTGGGTATTATAAATCAAAAAGAGTGAATACATCTGAGCCAGCCACTGAGAACGATTTTGAGTCATATCACTAATTGTCTTCAGACATTGGTTCTTACCATTGGGAGGACCTCACCCGACCAGTCAGGAAGTCTACACCTCCCTACGTGACTGACTGCCTAGGTGCTTGGTGTCTTAAACTCACTGTTATGGATTTCATTGACTGATGAAGCCATGTTTTGGTTTGATCACGACTGCCACTACCACTAGCTGTTTTCCAACTTGATCCATTCTATGTCAGTCAGCTAAGATTGGCTGTCCAGGAAGGTGGTGGCTAGGCAAGCGTGTATCTGTCTGTCTGTCTGTTTTCGACATAGAACTTTGCACAAATGTGCGGCAGTTCAAGTCGCCACATTCCGTGTAGCACGCGAAGCAAGAGAAAGTACAAGAAAAGCATAATAGAAACAGTGAGCAGAGGTGTGAGACAAAGGAGTAATAAAGAAATACAAAACAATTTCATTGAAGATCATAAGCGTGTATATGTGCGTGCATGCGTAACTTATGTTCTAGCCATCTCTCTCAATAGATGCAGCTGCTTGAAAACCTCGTCGATTAATTGATTTCTCTTTCTCACCTAGCGATCGATTGAGGCCTAACCTCAATACTGCTCATTCTATTATACCATTTGACACGGGAGATAGAATGTAGGCCTCTGTGATCAAAAACAACTAGTCAGCCTTTTCATATCTTTCACTCCCAATGGCCATGTCCCGCTCATGGCCATGGAGGAGGACAGAGCGGACTGCTTAGCAGTACACACGTCCTCTGGTTGATAACCAGCAAGATATCACATCTACGCCAGAAACGGCGTAAACTGAAATATGCGAAACGAGCCCTCTGTATCCGTGCGGAGATTTCGTCAGCGATCAACCCGCTGGGACTGGCTGATGTAACAGCCGAAATAAATGAAGCGGTCAACGTGCTCTACCACTTCACTCCCTATTTCTAAGCTAGGAGTCAATGTAGTTCAGTCGTGTTGCAGCATCATACATTTGGCGGGAGCGAATTTATTATTATTTATATTTGTATCCTTTAGTTCCTAGAGGAACATAGGGCTTCAGCTGCGCACCTCCATTGACTTCGGTTTTCTGACAACTTTTTCACCCTGCTCCAGGTCTGTCCACATGCTTTCATCTCCTCCTCGCATGACCTCCTCCAAGTCACCCTTGGACGACCAACTCGCCGCCTCCCTTTCGGGTTCCACTCGAGGGCTTGTCTAGTGATGTCACTTGATGGTTTCCTCAGCGTATGGCCAATCCATCTCCATTTCTTTCTGCCTATTTGTTTCACAATCGGTTCCTGATTGGTTCGCTCCCAGAGATCCCTGTTGCTGATCTTTTCTGGCCATCTGATCTTGAGTATTGAGCGGAGACAGTTGTTAATGAAGGTTTGAAGTTTGTTTGAGATGCTCTTTATGACTCGCCAAGTCTCTGATCCGTATAGTAGCACTGACTTCACATTGGAGTTGAAAATCCGGATCTTATTTTTGATGCTGATTGCTGTTGACCTCCACACAGATTTGAGAGTAATGAAAGCTTGTCTTGCTTTTCCGATTCTGGCTTTGATGTCCTCGTCAGTTCCGCCTGTAGTTGAGACGATGCTTCCCAGGTAGGTGAAGGAGGTTGTTTCTTTCAGGTTCTTCCCATTTATGCTTATTGTGGTCTGTTGTGTTGTTGATGTTGGCTAGGAATCTTCATCATCTCTGTTTTATCTATGTTCACGTGAAGTCCTATCTTTGATGCTTCTTCTGCCAACTTGTTACTTTTCACTTGCATATCTTCCAGTTTATGGGAAATCAGACATATATCATCGGCGAAATCCAGATCCTCCAAGTCTTTTGTGTCAGTCCATTTTATGCCTGTTCCCTCGTTGGTTGCCGTTGTCTGTCGCATTATCCAATCAATTGCAATCAGGAAGATCATTGGTGATAGTAGACAGCCTTGCCTCACTCCCGTCCTCACTTCGAAGGCTTCCGTAAGTTTCCCGTTGTGGATTACTTGGCATGCAGCATTGTCGTATAACTGTTGGATGAGGTGTATAATTGTCGATGGGACCCCGTAGTAGCGAAGTAGTTTCCAAATGACCTCTCGATCGACGCTGTCGAAGGCCTTTTCAAAGTCGATGAAGTTGAGATAGAGAGGTGACTGCCATTCCAAGCTTTGTTCAATGATGATCCGTAGAGTGGCGATTTGATCAATACATGATTTGTTTCTCCTGAATCCAGCCTGTTCCGGACGAAGTTTTTCATCTAGGGCTTGTTTGATTCTCTCCAGGATGATGCGACTTAGTATCTTGCTTGGAATGGACAGAAGCATAATTCCACGCCAGTTTTTACATTGACTTAAGTCTCCTTTCTTTGGAAGTTTGAATAAGTAACTGTTCTTCCAATCCTCGGGTACTTTGCCCTCTTTCCACACCTTCTCCAGTAGTGGTGTCATCAAGTCCGCTGTTGTCTCTGGGTCTATTTTCAAAGCCTCTGCTGGGATTCCATCTGGTCCCGGTGTTTTCCCAGCTTTAAGCATCTTGATTGCATTCAGGACTTCTGATTTCGTCGGGGGGTCAGTGTTCACTGGTAGTTCTGCTTCCGTTGTTGGTATTGCTGGACGTGTTGTAGGTGGCGGACGATTTAGAAGTCTTTTGAAGTGTTCAACCCAGTGCTTTCTCTGTTCCACCTCTTTGGTGATTGACTTTCCATTGTCGTCCTTTATTGGCTTAATCTGTGTCGAACGTTTGCCCGAAAGGTTCCTAGTTGTTTGGTAGAGTGTGGCGAGGTCTCCTTTGCCTGCAGCTTGTTCTGCTTCGTTTGCCATGGTTTCATAATATTTTCTTTTGTCTTCCCTGGCACTTTTCTTCACTCTTTTGTTCAGTGTATTGTAGCTTGCATTCAGCTCCTGTTTTTGTTGCTCGTCGTGCACTGGATAATCTTTTGCTTCACTGTCCTTCTCTCTTCTATTAGTTTCCAAGTGTCCGTAGTGAGCCACTGTTTGTCCTGTCTCTTTTTTCTGCCTAGAATTTCTATGCAGGTTTGGCTCCACACCGTTTTCAAGTTGTTCCAGTGCTTTTCAACGCCGACCTCTTCGCTAGTGTTGATTTGTGTCTCGGCTTTGTCCTTTATGCTTGCAATGAAGATGTCCTTTGTAGCCTGGTCCTTCAGCTTTTGAGTGTTGAACTTGGCTTGTGGTCTATCTGCAGCTCCTGATTCCCTGAAAGCTTTTAATTTGATTTGGATTGTCCCTTGTACGAGATAGTGGTCTGAGCCAACGTCTGCTCCTCTTCTTGCTTTTGTGTCCAGTAGGCTGCGCCTCCACTTCCTTGAGATTGAGATGAAGTCGATTTGGTTTTTGGTTTGCCCGTCTGGTGACACCCATGTAGCCTTGTGGATATCTTTGTGCTTGTATACACTGCCACCAATCACCAGTTCGTTGAAGGCGCAGAAGTCGGCGAAGAGTTCTCCGTTTTCATTCATTTCTCCTAGAGCTTCTCTACCCATGATGAGTTCCCTTCCCGTATTGTCTGGTCCCAGTTTGGCGTTCATGTCTCCCATTAGTATTTTCATGTCGCCAGCTGGAGTATTGTCCATTGTTGCCTGTAGTTGCCTGTAGAATTCTTCTTTCTTCTCGAGGTCTGCGTTGTTTGTGGGTGCATAACATTGTATGATTGACACTTTCCTTCCTTTGGAGTTGAACCTGGCGGTCATTATCCTGGACGAAATCGCCTCCCATTGTATCAGGGCTTTCGTTGCCGTTGGTGACATCATGATAGCCACGCCCTCGGTGTGCGTGTGGTTATCTTCTGGGTGACCGGAGTAGATCACTGACTCACCTGTTGACAATTTGGTGAGTCCACTCCCATTCCATCTGCTCTCACATATTCCCAGCACTTGTATTCCGTATCTTTTCATCTCGTTGGCGATCTGGGCAGCTTTCCCAGTCTCGTACATAGTTCGGACGTTCCATGTTCCTACACAGACTTTTTCTTTTGGTGCAAGGAGGTTCAACATACTGAAGTTTCTTTAGCAATTTTTTGTTTACAGGGAGCGAATTGCATGCCAAATATTCGAAGATTGCTTCTCAAGGTCTTCAGAAGAATGCATTTTGTCACCTAGGTGGACTGTATCCTCCGCATACCCTAAGTCAACGAGATTATTTCCTGCTAACAACAAGTCAATCCCTGAGTCGTTGAAGTCAGTTACGGTTAAATCCATTAGTACATCTACGATGCATTTAAAGAGAAACGGGGATACTGGGCATCCCTGATGGACACCACTGGTTGTTATCACTTTAGATGACAATTTTAATAATACTATGAACGATGAAAACGCAAACTAGACTATTGAATTCAACTGCCACACCTCAAAAATCTACACACAGAAGAGAAGGAATAATCATAGGATAAATAAATAAAACTATTTCAAACGAATGCTAAAAAACAAGATAAAAAGGAATAGAAAAAATTTGAAATGTGATATTACGATAAGTATAAAGTGTGCGTGATTCTAAGGCTGATTCTGAACGATATAACCTAAATGTCTGAGATCATACATTTCAGTTGTCATGTGAACTCTACTCTGGCAACTTTTCCCCAATTTGTGAATTAGATCAAACATTGACAATATAATATTCAGCAAAGAGACCTTTTCCAAGGAATTTATTATCAAGTTGTGCAATCTTTTAGAGATATGGTTTTTTTGTATTAAGAAATTAAGAAATGCAATTGAAATATTTGTGATTATAATCATTGTTAAATATCAAGTGTCAATGGCAAAAAAATTAATGTCATATATAGAATAATTTATAGGATGTATTGATGTTGGAAGGAATGTATATACTTCTTTGTACACAGAGGTGTGACTTGAATTCATGAATGACCAAGTCTTCTGTTGTCTTTAGTAGTTAAGATGTAAGAAAACGCGGCAAGTTAGCACGAATTCAATAGATAATCTTAAAATCATGATCAGGGTTGGTAGAATGACTAAAGTCGATCAAGTGCTCTAGAATAGAACTTCGCACACCCTTCCTTTCTCCTTTGTAAAACCATACTGGAATATGTTCTCGTGTCCTAATGGAAAGCGTTCTCTGGCTACGACCAATGTATCTTGGTCTACAAGAGCAGGTGAACTGATAGATGTACACGGATGCAGCCAGATGAGGGAGATTATCTTTAACAGAGATGAGAATAATTTACGACTGGGGAAGACCATTTGTAGTTACGCAGCAAAGAATGTCTTGCTGACTGATTTACAGAGACGATTTTTGAGCATATCTGAAGCCTGCTCACCTTTGAATTCCAAATTCATGAAGATGGTTTTCTTTGGAACCGAGTCAGTTCAATTACACAATCAATTACTTGTGCATTCGTTTAACTTCCAATAATCATAGGAAATTGAGTTACAGTGTAAATCGCATGCAGTTTACTAGCCGACAGTTAGCTCGGAAGAAGTGGAAAGGCTGGATGTGAGACTAGCAACCCTATCCTGTAGAGAGAAAAAACACTACCACTAGTGAAACGTTTAAGTATGAAGCCTTATGTTCCACTCAGAACGAATAGCATGAAAAGAGTAAAATAATGCAAAATTTCAAAGTAATAGATCAACTCACTAGACATACTCCAAGTCGGGTCATCATCATCTCGTGTCTTTCGTTTTTTACCTACTTGGTATGAAGTGGACTTTGACTGAGAAGAATATCCTTCCTTTCGTTGTCCTACAGTATTATCATCCTCATCATCTGAATCACTAAGTGCTAAGTAATCTTCGAATATTTAAACGAAAAAGAAACAAAAAGAACAATTTCAGTTGCAGTTATCATGGAAATATATCAAATAAACTTATCATACAATAAATCGCTGTTAAAAAAAACTATTTAAGATAGTCGGCTGCAGAAACTGATCTGTAGCTCAGCAGCAAAGAATGCTTTTCTCAGTGATCCGCATAAGCGGTCCTTCAGGATCTCAGCTGCGGTGTCACCTCTAAATCCAACCTTCATAAATAGCAGTTTTCTTTGGCACCGTCTGGCTTCTTTCAGGCTCCTGCCTTAAGTTCATGTTTTTCTCGATAAATCTTGGAGAATGTCTATTTTCTATGAGGACTTGTCTGAGTCTCTCCAGTCCGCTCTGTTCGGTAAAAAAAGCCTTAGTAAGGTGCCTGTTCAGTAGAATCCAACGAATATGCACTGAAGGCACACTTGATGAGGAAGAAAGGAAGTTGACAGAAACTCTGGTTGATAATAATTCACCAGATAAGTTCATCAGGAGATATAAAGTAGTCAGAAAACCAAGACCCACTCTCCAACTCGCCACTAAGAAAGACGAATATAACAAGCTACCCTACATGGGTGATCATAGCAGCTTGACTACTAGACAAAGATTAAACGCTGTGGTTAGAAAGAATTTCCATGCAGCTAAGATCAGAATAATTGTGAATGTGAAGCCGATATATCCATCTAAGCCCTTAAGACATGCGAAAAATGATGTCACATTCCACTGTATTTACTAGTCTGAATGTACGTGTGAACACACATACATAGGGGGGAATCATCGATATCTGCAAATAAGGGCTGGTTTCAGCAGCAAATAGAATCCCCAGAATCCATCAGTAATGAGAACAGACAACCTGGCTCCTATACTGCGAAACATATTATAGAGAGAGGACATAAAATTGACGTTTACACGTCTTTTAAACCTATCTGTAAAACGTGTTTGGAGCGTATCTTAAAGTTTGTGGAAGCCCTAGCAAATAGGAATTTTACACCACCTTTATGCTTCAAAAGCAATTCGTCATCACACTAAACCTTCCTTGGTAAACTTTGTTTTGATACCAGTCAGGGTAGATGTACTATTACCTCTCTTATTTGGTTTAGTGATCTTCACTGTTATTTTGACCTCCAATACGTCCTTTTAACTTGATCTAAGTCTATTATCTCACCTCTTAACTCTTTATTAATTTCACATATAATCCTATGACGAGCCCATGTGTGATCAGATTGTTCGAAATGTGTTTAGTAAATAAATAAATTACACGATTCAGACAAATTACGTCTTCGTATTGCTTTATCTAAAAAGAATCTTCAACTGATGTCAGTTTGTAATTGACTGACTGGCTGAGTTCCAACATAGAACTTTGCTAAGAAATGCAGTGGTTCAAATTGCTACACTCCATGTAACACAAAAATGGTCGAGAAGAGAGGATAATAACAGAGGAAAATCATAAGAAATTAATGAATCTGGGATATTACAAAGAGTGAATGAATCTGTGCCATTCACAGATCGATTTTGAGCCACATCACCAATAGTCTCCAACTATTGATTCTTAGAATTTTGAGGACCCCAACCAATCAGTCTACATCGCCATACGCGACTGAAACCAAAAGTCAAAGACTTCATGGATTAATGCTATGTTTTGGTTTGACCATACCCAAACCTTCTTCAATCTAATCGTATGTCAGCTAAGATTGCTCAACGAGCATGACAATGACTCGATATGTGTAGCACGTGTTCTAGCCATCTCAGTCAATTCACATTCACAAACTTGTCAACCGACTTGCCCTCCTTTTTATCTAGAATTATACTCATCTTAGTCACCATATTATACAACTTAACATTGGAGATAAAATGCAAGCAAGTGTGATCAAAGAAAATTAACCTTTTTATGTCTTCTACTTTCAATAGTCATGTCTCACAGCAATACAGGAGGACACGGAGAACTGTTGTGCAGTATACACATCCTTTGCTCGATAGTCGGATATCATGTTTACGACAGAGATGACGTAAGTAAGCAAATAACAACACCAGTCTTTTGTATCCAGGTGCGAATCACATGTCAAACATACAAAGGTTTGTGTTTACAAAACGTTCAGAAGACTGTATATTATTAGCATCTTCATCTAGGAAGATAACAACCGCATACTCTAAGTCAACAAGACTGTGCCTTATCTGTTTTTAACATAGAACTTTGCACATATATGCAGAAGTTCGAGTCACCACAACCCGCCCTTGTAGCACACAAACAAACAGAAGAAAGTACAAGAAATGCATAACACACACAGTATACAGAGGTGTCAGACAAAGGAAGAGTAATAACGAAGAACAAAACAGTTTCATTGGAAATCATAAGTCATAAGGAGTGGATGCATCTGCGCCAGCCATTGACAACGATCACTTTGAGCCATGTCACCAATAGTTTCCAACCATTGGTTTTTACCGTCCCGAGAACCCCAACCCAACCAGTCAGGAAGTCTACACCTTCCTACGTGACTGGCTAGCTTAAACTAACTGTTGTAGATTTCATTGACTGGTGCCATGTTTTAGTTTGACCGCCACTAGCTAGCTCTTTTCCAGCCTGTCAGCTAACATTGCTCGTCAATCGAGGAAGGCGATGACTAGGCCTGGATACGTAACACATGTCCTAACCATCTCAGTCGATGTAATTTCACAGCCTCGTCGATTGATTTCCCCTCCTACCTATCTAGCACTCGACCGAAGCCTAACCTCAATATTCCTCACCTTATTATACCACTTCACACGGGAGATAGAACGCAGGCACCTATGATCAAAGACAGCTAGCCAGCCTTTTCATGTCTTCCACTCTCAATGGCCATAAAGGAGAACGGAGAGGACTGATGAGCAGTACACCCTGTCTGTCTGGATTCAACATAGAACTTGGCACCGAAGTGCAGCAGTTCGAGTTGCCCGCCCTTTGGTCGATAGTCGGATATCACGTCTACGCCAGAGACGGCGTAAACTGGCATATGCAAAACTAGCTCTGTGTATCCGTTCTGAGATTTCGTCAGAGATCAACCCGTTGGGGCTGATGATACTTCCGAAATAAGTGCCTTGGTAACAAGTCAATCTCTAAGCCGCTAAATTCGATTAATTTCACATCTATTAGTATTTTACTCAATAGGTATATTAAGAAGACATTCCATAAAAACAAACAAATAGCACTTTTTAAGCAAAAGGTAAACGTACAATGATCACCGATTAATCGACTTTTCTTTAAGCCTGGAAGTGCTTTAAGAATTTCATCATCATCAGTAATTACATGCCCCTCTCCTTCTTCTTCTTCTCCTTCTTTATCACCACCTACTGAATGTTTTGACTCACTTAAACGTTTACATTGTGTTTGCCTATTTGGTATCCAACCTAAACCGCCAACATGTTTATCTTTAGTTGTCCATTTAATTTTCATAGATAAATCAGAGGTTAAACGCTTCATAGAATCTACAGGAGACAGTTCAGCTGTTAGTTGTGCATTTGATCTGAAATCAATAAATAATAATATAAAAGATGAGTGTTAAGGAAAAAGGCGGAGAAATAGCACTCAACAATCAATTACAGCCTCATACAGTCGGTAATAAGGTCTACTGTGTGTGAGAGAGAGAGAGAGAGCTAGTGATACTAACTGATCGTCCGAATCGCTCTATAGATTGAGAGAGTTTTGAACCCGGGATACACTAGTTGAAAAAGTCGAGTATCTACATCAATGACCTACCTACACAGCTTCATAAAGAATGAGTATAAGCAAATCATAAGTTACTCAAAGATAAATGACTATGACCAGGTTTTGAAGTGGTTCTCTAACCGATGTCAGGTCATGATGAAATCATGAGAAATCATGTAACCAATCAAATCTTCGTAAACCAACACCTGAATGACTAAAAACTTTACCAAGACCAATAACTTTCATAATAATAATATTAATAATGGTAATAATAATTTGCTTTATTCCAAAACAGTACTTGTGATACAGAATGGACTTCTCAGCATTTTTACTACAGTATTGCATCCAGTTAGTACATTATCAATAAATAAATAAAGTTCTACATAGATTAAGGAAATCTCAGTTCATTATGACAACAACATATTGGCATGTCGGTAGCAAAGCCATAATTGAACAGAGTGTTTAAAGGTGTTAGAAAAGTAGATGCTAGCATATTTACTGGCGTAAGCAGAGGAAAGAAACAAAGCAGCACATAACAGAAGAAAAAGAGAAAAGAAAAGAAAGAAAGTAAACGTTGTACCTATAAATGATATGATTTGGAAAGACGAGATCCAGTTGTTCTACTGACTATTTAATAAGTTAAAGGTTTCAAGCCTAATGCTTTCTTTATCGCACAGAACACGAGCTGAGTAGGTTATGGTTGAGTTTTTGTACTTATTAGTGCGAGCATATAGTTTTCTATATAGACTTCTGGTTTTGCCTGAAGAGATACAAGGGGAGAGTTGTGAATGAAGAGGGTGGTAGTGTGAGTTAGATAAAATGGATTTAGCCCATTTTTCTCATGAGTCCATGTGCCTGTCAACCAGAATATTAACAAGCTGGTTAAGTGGCACGTAGCTTACCCTGCTGACAACCTTTAACATCCTGCGTAATAAGGTAGGAGAGCAGTTTAATGGCGAAGAAAATAAATCCAATCTTATTTTGTCGCATTTTGTTGTGCTACACAAAGCAGATATTTTCAATTAGCATTTGAAACCTGTTGCTTAATACATGGATCTCAACAACCATGACTCTCAGTGGCAACGTCAACATTCATTGTAATTTAGATACAAGTCTCAAACAGCAGGGAATGGGCGTTCTGGATCTCACAGAACAAAACAACACAATAACTTTTACTTTATTTTCTACCAGTCTAAGCATATTTATAGCACATACTGTTAGAAAGCCTACCAGACCAGCGTACATGTAGTCGTCCAGCACGAAGCCAGGTGCATGCAGTGCCAGTTCGACCGCCTTAACAGTGTAAAAGTGGGTAAACATGTATCGGTAAAAAGCTCGTTAACCAGGCCTCATGTGATCTAGCGTTCGATTCTAGTCGATGCAATCCTAAACCTCATTTAGCCAGTAGTAAGCCCATTAAAGAAGCGAGGTTCGGTGTGAGGTTAGCAACCTCATCCCTTAAAAGACAAAAATCACCGCCGCTGAAATTTCATATCTCAAGTCTAAAAACTTATGTTCCACTGGGAACGCTAAGGAATAAAACAGATGAGAAAAGCTATCAACAAATCGTTTCCTAAAGCTCCACAAACTAACTCAAATCTATTTTGATGTAGTTATGTTCTCTGAGCTGGTTGGTTTGCTTGTTAATCTTTCATTGACTTACTAGGCACCAAAATCATACGCCTGAGCTACAAATCTTCCCCTTTTATACCTAACTCAAATCTATTACGCGATACTAACTTCCGTTGCTTAATTTCGACTACTCAAACTTCCTCCTATCAGACCATTTATCTCATTATGTTGAGATTCCCTGTATCTATGATCCATTGGTATACTCTTCCAACTACCAGTCACTTGGTGACGGATTCCAACCCAGCTCGACTTACCAAGGTTTAAACAAGCAGTTGGTGTCATTAGTTCTCATACAATAAGTTCGATACACTGCCAACTATACGCAGCTGTTAACTAATATTTTTATCAACTCCTACCATCATCTGATTGGTTGTAATGAGTTTCCTGTTGAAAATGAATACAAGTGAACGGTCTGCAAGATTGTCTTATCACTGGAAGGTCTTGAGTTCAAGCTTCAATGGGCAAGTACAGATGAAGAGAGAGAGTCCCGAACTTGAATGAAACAGTTGTCCACTACTCCCTGTTGGTTTTCAATGGTTCTTTATCTCACTAGAATCTGTGGTTACACTTGAAACGAGGATGTTAGTTAAATCTCAATTAAAACGGGAGCAATTGTAAAAATAAATCTCATTTAGAAGCTAATCTCTTTTTACATTTAAAACAAAAGTATACTGATAAATCAAAGGGTTACTTGTCATTCCATCCTTGCCACTCAACATTAAACTTACAAATAAGTAATTTTCTAAGATATAGTGGCGATATATTTTTTAAATAGTAAAGAGTAGTGTGCACTACAGATTCTTAGATAAACTGGATACCAGACAGACGCTGACAGACATACAACCACCAGTTTTATATTTGTTTAGAAACAGAACTCTAGAGACTAACTGTCGTTTCCAGATTATCTATTATTTATTGTATTATTACTTCTTTGGGTTCCGAATGGAACATATAGTAGCTACGGCAGTACATCTTCATCTCACCCTGTTCTTTCTGCAGTCTATTTTAGCTGGCTTCACCCACAATAGCCCATAAACTTTCATTTCCTTCTCTCATATGATCTCCCCTATGTCAAACTCGGACCCACATACTCAACTCGTAGTTTCTCATTCGGGTTCCACTTGACGGCTGACCTGGTGCGTGATATCGTCGGCCGATAGCTGCTACCTTGACGTGGCGGGTCGAGCTTGCACATCGCGATGACCCAACAAGCTACACTGGCTGGAACCAATGTTCCTGAAGGTCCTACCATGCCAGGAAGGTTGTTAGGATAGAGATTAGACTAAAAGCAGTTACCGGCATCGTGTAAGAATCTTTCTTACAATATGCTGGAGGTCTGAGGGCGAAGTCGTACTGCTGGGGAACAGGGGTGTAACAGCAGTGAGGTGTTTCCCTCAGATGACCAGCATGCCAGCCAGCTATGCTGTCTCACCACTCTGGAGAGAGGGGGTTAGAAAAGGTCAACCCCAGAAATTGTACATCCCGACTTGCCCTACGGTGGTCTGTAACCAGCGGTAAGTTTACTAATATGGAACCAATCCCAGAAACCAGTTCATACAGGCCGTGTGTGACCGGCCTTAAGCAGTTGTCCCCTGGGCTCTGCGGTCACGCAACACTATCCCTCTCTCTGTTTCAGGTACCCGAAGAATCAATCAACTTCCACGGTGTGGGGAGCTGGGAAGTAACAACCGCCCACACACTTCCAAAAGCATTCTCCTGCGCGATATCACTTAACAGTCTGATGAAAATAGATCGGCTATCTTTTAGTACAACTATACCCGTAGGACTTGGCAAATGAAAAGACTTCAGCTACTTTCAGTCTCTTAAACAGAGCATAAATGATGGTAAGACGTCCAAAGGAAAAGAAACTCTTGACCAAAACTTTTAAAATGAATAACTGTTCTATAAACTTAACACCCAAAGGAAAACAATACAGCATTAAAAAAAGCAGAAGGAATGCTTTAGAACTTCTGAAAATATTATGAATGTTCTCAAGCATATATAACATTAGAGTGTTGTTTGAAACACAAGGCACGATAAAAAACTCTTTAGTCCATGTGAAGGGACTAGCAATTTTTGTTTACAGAAAAAAAATGATGCAGACGCTGAGAAGTAATATACATAGATCAAATGTCTTCAGAAATGAGCACTATATACAGGGCTTCTGTTTATCTTCTACGGAATTCAATATACTTCATCACAAAGCTTCGAATACAGGTTCGCATTGCCGATTTTTACTATCATAAGATTAAGGGACTTATTATACCAGAGGCTCTTCACATAAAATTAAGTTGAAATATTCCCATTGAAAAAAAGAGAATGACGCAAAGTTTCATCTCGTTCCAAAACACACACACACGCGCGCATATGAGGATTATCAACATATAGGTCAAAAGAATTTCTTCACACTTAATATTATTCATATCGGTATTTTACTGCTGATATTTCTATATCAACTTGATTGATCTTATTCTAGCACATAAGCCACTCCTTGAACGTACAGCTTTGACATGACCTTAAATCTTTAACTGATGTCACTTATTACATGTTGGCTATTTCTAAGACACAGAAAGTGTTTCGTCCTCTTTGAAACTAGTCAGTTGAAAGCGCTTACATTCCACTGAATGATGATGTTCTCATTAAGAGCAGTCAGAACAAAGAAATGACACCAATCTATTGGATTTCTGATCGTTGGTTTGAGCCACTTAAGGAGATATAGACTGCTTAGCTGGAGTTCTCAGAATGCTAAGAATAAATGGCTGAAAACTACTGGTGAAATGGCTAAAAATTGTTCTAAGTGATGCAAAAGTATTCATATCTTGTGATTAATCATCCAGTTTCATCTACTGTAGTTTCATTGCATTCCTACTCTCTCTCTTTCTTTCTTTATCAGTACTGTTATGGTAGCCCGGACACAAGGTGTATCGAGATTTGAACCCGGAGCCCATTAGTTAGAAGTCAAAAGCTAAAGACAATGAACCACATCCAAAAAAGGTAGTTAAACTTGAAATAATAATCATTTTAAAATTTTCAAGGAATTACCACCAAGTCTAGTGTCAACGTTCTGTGTTATTTGGAAACTTATTTATCGAGGTCTCTCTCTCTCATTTTGACGTTACTGAGACACAGATCGACAACTCTCATTCCTGCAGTCAAGAGTATTACTAATGAACTATTTATTAGTATTGTGAATGATAGCCAATTGAAATTAAGTGACACCAAGATCTATTCAAGTAACAACAATAGAACTGAGACTCCAAGTATTAACCAAGGAATAATGTATTATTGTCATTTTATTTGTTCATGTAGGCAAGTAGTCATTCTAACACCACAAGTATTAATAATTTTAGCACCCTGAAAAACATTAACGAGGAATACAAATAGCCTTATCGATATTCCATACAAAATGTTAATTGAATAGGCCTATGATTATAAGCAAAGGTTCCATCTAGTAATCAGATTAGAATTATTCAAACCCACCAACAATGCGATTTAGTATGAGGTTATATCACTACTACAGTTACACAGAACCGATGCATAGTGGCCATGTTTCACCATCAATTCTTAATTCATTTGTTATCTATAGTCCCACCATGCGGTGGGATGTTCCTGGCAAAAGCAATGAAGCGGATACGAACGTCCGTAGAACACTTACAACCGAACTGGTGGGCATGTAAGTCTACCTAGGAGACTTGGAAAACCATAATTCTAAACCTATGGTGTGCAAAATCCAAACCGATCGATTGGCGTATGAACTGAATACCATGGGAACGCAGCACCTGACACTGCTTCACTACCTTATAGATCAGACTTAAAGTCAACGGCTTGGAAAACAGGGGACCCCTTAAGACAACCACCCACTTCGGTCCGGGCGTTCACACAGTATTCTAAACTTTGCACAAACTATGTCTGTCTGTTTTCGACATAGAACTTTGCACATATATGCAGAAGTTCGAGTCACCACAACCCGCCCTTGTAGCACACAAACAAACAGAAGAAAGTACAAGAAATGCATAACACACACAGTATACAGAGGTGTCAGACAAAGGAAGAGTAATAACGAAGAACAAAACAGTTTCATTGGAAATCATAAGTCATAAGGAGTGGATGCATCTGCGCCAGCCATTGACAACGATCACTTTGAGCCATGTCACCAATAGTTTCCAACCATTGGTTTTTACCGTCCCGAGAACCCCAACCCAACCAGTCAGGAAGTCTACACCTTCCTACGTGACTGGCTAGCTTAAACTAACTGTTGTAGATTTCATTGACTGGTGCCATGTTTTAGTTTGACCGCCACTAGCTAGCTCTTTTCCAGCCTGTCAGCTAACATTGCTCGTCAATCGAGGAAGGCGATGACTAGGCCTGGATACGTAACACATGTCCTAACCATCTCAGTCGATGTAATTTCACAGCCTCGTCGATTGATTTCCCCTCCTACCTATCTAGCACTCGACCGAAGCCTAACCTCAATATTCCTCACCTTATTATACCACTTCACACGGGAGATAGAGCGCAAGCACCTATGATCAAAGACAGCTAATCTGTTCATGTCTTCCACTCTCAATGGCCATAAAGGAGAACGGAGGGGACTAATGAGCAGTACACCCACCCTTTGATCGGTAGTCGGATATCACTATGAGGTTTTGTGTGGTGCATTTCTTGATGCCTACAATATATATCATGTTTGTGTTTCAATAATATGGTAATAGTAATCATAATAACAATAGTAATAAAGTCAATGAAAGTAACAAAGTTTTACAAACAAGTAATGTGAAGTAAAAGTTCAGAAGTGAAATTATAAGTCAGTTAGTCATTGTATACAAACAAGGTAATAACTCACTTGGAATGTTTAGAGTATATCCCTGATTGAAAAGAATGCGCTGAAAAACCTGAGTGTTTCACAGAACGCGGTGAAATTGAGCTTAAGACTTCATTCAGCCTTCCAATTAATTTTGCACATGGTATATCTAATTGATTTTGACTAGGAAGAAAATATCGTCTTTCCTCTGGTGGAAGCTTAATAAAATGAAATGTGATAAGATTTAGACAAAAAAAGTATGAATCAAATGTAGAAATTTCGCTTTTAAATAGTTTTAAATTTTGCCCAACTAAATAATCATAGAAGAATATGTCAAAAGAAGAACCGTGCAGACCGGCTGAACGGACTTGTGAGGAGAGAAAAAAGATTGTCATACTCCTCGATATCTCCACATAATTTACATCTACGCCCCGTCCCCCGACTGACCGCAGTTTGAGGTTAAGGGGTGACTTATAACAAAAGTTGTCCAGTTTTCCAATGAAAGCAAAATGCTCAGATATAGTTACTTCAGTGAATTTCAGTGCTTGAGTAAAGAAGCTGTGCCAGTTAGAAAAGAATAATAGTGACACCTGTGCAGTCCCATGCCGACGAAATGATAAGGGTGATCATTTCTTACAGTTCTGCTCGGATAATCATCTGTGCCTGGTCAGTACTAACTTCAAAAATAAAGGGAAACATTGCCTAACCTGGTAACATCCATCATCAAATCAACGATGGACCGAAATAGACCACATAATGATAAGTCATTGATAGAGAGTACGCTGATTTGAAATTCGAAGACTAATACCGATGAATTGGTCAATTACTAAGCAGTCATTAGTATACATCATTTGTCGTGTTGCTTAAATATCCTTAATCCAGTTAATAATCGGTGATCATAAGACATAACAATCAAGAGCAACAGATGTGACAGATCCAATGCATACACCTACGTCGAGATAAGATTTGAAGTTTATTTTTTGGTAAAAAAAAAATAAATTTTTTATATTCATTCATATACTAACAAACAACAGTTATTATTTAATTGGTGGATGGTGACTAGCAGAGGGATCCAGGATGTGCATTTCGTCTTATTTGGGACTTGTCAGATGGATGTACCTGCATTTCTCAGTGAGTGATTATGTTCCCACCGAGGCTTAACCCAATGCCCAGACATCGTCGAAGCATTTGCACAAGAAGCCGACACGTCAGCCTGAGACCGAGCACTTCGTTCCCATCAATCGACGGGAAAATCTCAAATTCAATTAAAACAACAGTTATTACCTGGAAAAAAAGTTACATGCAAATATGCTGTGAGTTATTTCTCATAGAAAAAGACTACATACAAAGCAAACAACCATGTAGGAGATATATTTCTCCTCGGGAACAAACAATCAATCATTCACCTCAACTCAACTCTCAATACAAACTCACATCATGGAAAATGGGGCTTTAACAGCACATCTCCATTTTGTCCTGTTTTCTGTAGTACCCTTCACAGCTGGTCCCATGATTCTCCATAAGCTCTTATCTCTTCATACGATCTCCACCATTCCACTCTCAGACGGCCAATTTGTAGTTTGTTTCCCACTCAGCTTACACTTGAGGGATAGCCTGACGATTGATGCTACGCGACGGTCTCCACAGCGTATATCTTCTCTATTTTCATTTCCTTTGGCAGATTTATTGAGCAATAAGTCATTCCTAGAATTCTTTGTTGCTAATTCTTCCTGGCTGGTTATCTGACGTTCAGTATGGAGCCAGAGAAGGCAGTTGTTGATAGAAGCCTGCAGTCTGTGAGGAATGACTTTCATCACGCGCCATTTCTGACCCATATAGAAGAACTAACCTGACAGTATTGTCGGAAATCCAAATCGTGTTCCTTTAGCTGAGTGCAAAAGATTTCTAAACTGATTTCAGAGTGATGAAGGTCTGTCTTGCCTTTCCGATTCTGGCTTTGATATCTTCATCCCGTTTGTCTGGTGTTGAGTACTTATTCCTTTAAATACTGTATTACAGTATACGTGTAAGCAGATGACACACATCCGTATATATCCAAGTGTCGATTTACCATCAAAATCAAGCTACTACTAGTCTACAAAACTATATTACGATAAGAGTTTTTTTTAAATAAATAACAACCAATGAATGAGTGCAGTTCAGATGATGGCCATACCAAAACTAATTTCACACTGTTTATTTCCCTGAACATGAAATTCTTAGGAAGAGACGCTGAAGTGAAAAGTTAGCTCAGACAATTCACCTCAACGAATTATTTCATACATGTATTTGACAGGGATTATAGAGAAACACTGGTTTTATGGAGATTGTTTGCTGATGTTTGTATAAGTCTTATCTCTATGTGTTTTAGTAATCTGTATGTTGACGTATAGAAACCAGGAACACTTAACTGCAAAGAGTCATTTATTTCTATTCTAAATGACTTTATTAAATATCTGAAGCCTGTACTGCGAACCGATTACCTATCTATATACATATGCATTAATTTTAAAGTTCAATGAAAGCCAATGAAAGAGTTGGAACTGTTTTGTCTGCTGATTTATGCATTTGGTAGCATGGAAAGTAGTAGTGAAGAATAAACGACGCAGCATAACATGGCTTACAAAATGTTTGTCACATAAATAAGGCAAGTTACTATTCCCATCTATGAGGAAATCATTTAACTTGTAATTAAAATAATGAGGTTTATGGCGGTTACAAGGTGCGTCGGTGACATAGCGTTTAGGACGCTCGCCGACCATGCACATGGTCCAGGGTTTGATCCCCGGCCGCCGACGCACTCCTTTACCTCGCTAAGCCAGAATGCTAGTAAAGAGGAAATGTTGGGCATGAGGCTAGCAACCCAATCCTGTAAAAATTAAACACTGCTACAAAAACTACAAGCCACTAGGCTTGAGGCCCTATGTACCACTGGAAACGTGTAGGAAAAAAAATTGGCCGTCACAAAAGTTGACACATGGTCAGTGATAACCATATATCAAGGCAAAGTATTTACACAGTACTGAAAATACAGTTTTGGAGTTAATAATCCGATTGGCCAAAACTATTGACTTACCGAACGTCTTTTAGCATACCATACTGGCAAAACTTTAACTAGACTTTCCGCCGCATCTAAGTCATGTGTAGCTGGATTTTCGCCATTCATTAAGCTATCTGTAATGATAACAGAAGAAAGATTAGTAAATTCAACACAGTGACTTTTTTTGGTTAATTTTGGTATATGCTGATATAGACTTACTAGTTAACTTGTCTAGTAAACGTTGACTATAAAACCAGTGAACTTTTTCAAAATTAGGAAATAAAAACTTCATCGGTGTTTCACACTTTTGTTCCATGCGATAAACTCTACAAAATAGAAGAAATCAGGAAAAGAGAAATTAAGACCTATAGATTTGAACAGTAGAGAGACAATGAAATAAACTATCTGTTTATATGAATACAATGTTTGCCGCCGTAAACCATCTGGTACGGTCTAGACTGTGCAGACTTCGGTCTTCCTGATGAAATGCTTTCATGTCGCCACACGTTTATAGCCTCTGTCAGGTAAGTCCTATCCGCAGCCTTTGCATGACAAGGTGTTTCTAACAACGTCCGGAGAAGGCTTACAACCGGACTGGTAACACATGTAAGCCTACCTAAGGGAGCTGGGAAAACTCATTCCCAACCGATGGTGTATACGGGCTACAGAATCCAAACCGATAGAATAGTGTATGAACTGTTTTCGTTCACTGGAAACCATATAAACGCAGCTTCACTGTCTTGTGGAACAGACTTTAAGTCAATGACTGGAGAATGCCTTTTTAAGACAACCCACTCGCTCCGGTCTAGCTATCCAGGTAGTATACCAACCTTTGCACAAAGTATGAGATGAACTATCAGTAAAAAAGTATATTTTAAACTTATGAACAGATGACTGATGTGATTGAAATTAGTTAAGCGTAATTACAGAACGCAAACGTGTTTACAGAATTTTCACGCACATAACCTTACTACCATGATTAACTCAGTGGAACTGATTGAATTATAGAATCATATAAAAGCATGAGTTCATTTAAATTATCACTGTTTGAACAACAAACAGTAATCAATAAACGCGTGTAAATTAGTAATAAGAAAGTGTAACTACATATTGAAATTGTATAGAAGGAAATGGGAATAGTGGAACAGTAATAATGAAAACAAACAGAAAAGGGAAAAAATATAGACAATTGAAGAAAATATTTTCTAACAAATACACTCATTTAGATTAATAATAATTTGCTTTTATTCCAGAAACAGTACTGGTGGTACAGTGTGGAATTTTCAGCACATATCTACAATATTGCATCTAATTTCATCGCACATTTAAAAGGAGTATTACAAAAAAAAGTAAATATGAAAAAACAACAACAAAAACCAAAAAGAAACACAAAAATAACAAAAAATGCAAATAAAAACACCAAGTAGAAAGGAAGATAAACACCAGTAATGAAATATATTTCAGTATTTCGTAGTGGAAGCTATGATATCTGTATGCGTGGTGAACAGTAACAGCTATAATCATACAAGAAATTATGAGATGTTCTTAAGAATGTTAGTAGCCAAGATGATCAGTTAATTTGATTGAACAACACTAAACAATCGTAAAATAAACATTTCAGGGTTTTTTATTGTCAGCACTAATGCAGTGTTTGTAGTGGTAGTGTGAGTAATCATGCATAATACAAAAATTTTAGGATGGTGGTAACGGCATTCACAACCAAGATTGTCACTTTAATATTGCCGAACAAAAAAAAATCACAAAACTAATATTACATGATGGTTAATGACAGGACAATTTCGTAATACTCATAATGATAATATAGTCGGAACCAGTAGATACACAAAAGAGGAATAGAATAAAGAACAAAAAAGTAAGCCAGTGATAACAATTTTAGGTAGCTAAGTATGTTTAAGAAGGTTGTTCACTATAGAGTACAAATAAGGGAGTATAAGCGAGAAATAAAAGGGCCAAAATTATGTTATTAACAACAAAACAAGTCATAGGTTTCGCGCTTAACATTGTCTCGGTCACTTAGAACACGGGCCAAATATGGTATCGTTGAGTTCCTATACTTGGTTGTACAAGCATATATTATTTTATACTGACTTCTGGTTCTACCTGATGAGATACAAGGAGAGATTTGGGAATAGAGGGGGTGTTGGGGGTCGGAGAGTATGGTTTTAGACCTTTTTTCGCATGTATTCAGATGCGTTTCTACTAATGTAGTGACGAGCTGACTGAGTTTTACACCACTAGTCCTACTAACTACCTTCTCAGGATGGTATAGTCCTTTTTCAGTAACCCAGGAAAGACTAATGGGGAGCAGTAAAGTAGAATAGGTAAGATACCAGAGTTGACAAATTGTGAAAGCAGAGGTTGAGTGATTCCAGTTAGTCTGAGTTTCTTAATGTAGCAGGTTAGACGAAACACTTTCTTAGAAATCGTTTGGATATGAGATGACCAAGTAAGGTCGGAAGATAGAACTAATCCAAGGTATTTTGCATTAGACTTAGTTTCAATTTAAGTCCACTCAAATACACTCATTTAGATTGTCTAGTCACATTTTTATTCGCCAGTATGGCCATCAAGTGTTAAGTAAGTGTTCAAAGATATGATGAAGAGTTTCATTCAGAACGCAAAAAACAACTACACATTCACTCAGAAAGCGCTGAAGGTAATAAAAAAAAGTGTAGAATTTGACATAGTTGAGGTTAATACCATATACGAAATAGTAAATTTCAGGGTCTACATAAAACCTGTAAACGTGATGGGAAATGAATAGGGCAACAACACAAAGAAAACTAGCTTCAATCAATATATTGCCAAGACGTTTTCATACATATAGCCAATAGACGAACAATTTAACATAAAATTCAACAACCGATTTGTATACAGTTTAACAATTCGAGATGTCACTATGGAACACGAAATGAATTTCTGAAAAAATGTCCAAAGAATTGCCACAAGGTGCAAGACCACCTAGCAATGCTATTGGCAGACACATCTTTGAAACAGGTCACACCATCAGTTTTAACACAGCTTTCCAGGTGGCTATATGCAGAAGTAGCAGAAATCCAACGGATTGTGACCCTTTGTATTTCTTTACTTACCATTTTATTATTTGTTTCATCCTTTTACTGTCCTGAGACATTTTCAATATCCATGATATTTATTATACAGCAGTGTTATTTCTTGGTTTATCCTCCACTATTTTACCATTATTTTCCCCCTTAACATGGCACACTTGTCATATCTTAAGTGTTTTCGCTGCCATCTTAAATCTGGATCGAATTTACAGTATTATTTCTCATTTTGATACTGATTTGTACCTTTGTGATGAGTAATCAAGTCATGAACTACATCGCCTCAGTTCCCATACATATTGTTGTGCAGATACGAAAACACTTATTTTGTATTAACTGAAACCAAGTCAATGAGTCTATGCTTTTGATAGTGATACTACGGGTATGGTTTTCTTTGTTGTAGTTGTTGGGACTGCCCGTCCTGTTAAGAATTCTTTTTCCCTTTTGCTATTGTTGTTCTGATTGCTTTATTCCATGTTTTTCTGATTCTAAGGGGAGCAACCCAAAAAGTTGCACCTCTGTAAAATATATATTCATGTAACAACCCCTATCTCAGGCGTGAGGCTAGCAGCCCCATCCTGTAAACAAAGCTGCTACAGAAACTTTAGTACGATGAGTCTCCTTGCGACATGGAACGTCCACACTATATATGAGACTGCCAAACCAGCCCAGATTGCATATGAGATGAAAAGATATGGTATTCAAATATTGGGAATATGCGAAAGCAGATGGAATGGGAGTGGATTGAAAAAATTGTCAACGGGAGAGTCAGTGATCTACTCCGGTCACCCGCAAGACAACCATGAGCACACTGAGGGTGTGGCTATCATGATGTCACCAACGGAAACGAACGTCCTCATACAATGGGAGGATAATGACTGCCAGCTTCAACTCAAAAGGAAGGAAAGTGACAGTTATACAGTGCTATGCACCCACAAACAACGCAGACCTCGAAAAGAAAGAAGAGTTCCACAGACAACTACAGGAAACAGTGGACAGTATTCCAGTTGGTGACATTAAAATTCTAATAGGAGGCATGCAACGTGAACTAAACTGGGACCAGACAACACAGGAAGAGAAGTTATCATGGGTAGAGAAACTCTTGAAGAGATAAATAAAAACAGAGAACTCTCCGCTGACTTCTGCACCTTCAATGAACTAGTGATTGGTGGCAGCGTATACAAGCACAAGGATATCCACAAGGCTACATGTGTGTTGCCAGACGGGTGAACCAAAAATTAAATTGACTTCATCTCAAGGAAGTGGAGGCGCAGCTCACTGGACACGAAAGTAAGAAGAGGAGCATTCTTCGGTTCAAACCACTATCTCGTACAAGGAGCACTCCAAAGCAAATTAAAAACTTTTAAAGAAACAGGAGCCGCAGATAGACCACAAACCAAGTTCAATACTCAAAAACTGAAGGCTACAAAGGACATTTTCACTGCAAGCATAAGGGAAAGAGCCGAGATACAAATCAACACTAGCGAAAAGGTCACCGTTGGGAAGCACTGGAACAACTTGAAAACGGTGTGGAATCAAACCTGCATGGAAGTTCTAGGCAGAAAAAAGGGACAGGACAAACAGTGGCTCACTACGGACACTTGGAAACTAATAGAAGAGAGAAGGACAGTGAAACAAAAGATTATCCAGTGCACTGACGAGCAACAAAAACAGGAGTTGAATGCAAGCTACTATACATTGAACAAAAGAGTGAAGAAGAGTGCCAGAGAAGACAAAAGAAAATATTATGAAACCATGGCAAGTGAAGCGGAACAGGCTGCAGGCAAAGGAGACCTCGCCACACTCTACCAAACAGCTAGGTTCCTACCGAGAAAAGGATCAACACAAATTAAGCCAGTGAAGGATGACAGTGGAAAGCCAATCACCAAAGAAGTGGAGCCATGAAAACACTGGGCCGAACACTTCAAAGGACTTTTAAATCGATCACCGTCTACAACGCGCCCAGTAGAGACAATGGCGGAAGCAGAACTACCTGTGGATATCAAACCTCCGACGGAAACAGATTTCCCGAAGCAATCACGATGCTAAAAACCGGGAAAGCAGCAGGATCGGACGGGATCTCAGCAAATGTCTTGAAAATGGACCCAGAGACATCAGCGGACTTGATGACACCACTACTGGAGAAGGTGTGAAAAGAAGACCAGGTACCTGCGGATTGGAAGAAAGGCTACTTATACAAACTACCAAAGAAAGGAGACTTAAGTCAATGCAAGAACTGGCGCGGAATTATACTCCTGTCTATCCCAAGCAAAATACTAAGCTGCATCATCCTGGAGAGAGCCAAACACGCCAACCTGGATGAAAGACTTCGACCGGAACAGGCTGGATTCACGAGAAACAAGTCATGCATCGATCAAATCGCAACACTACGGATCTTAGCCATTGAACAGAGCTAGGAATGGCAGTCACCGCTCCATCTCAACTTCATTGACTTTGAAAAGGCCTCCGACAGCTTAGATCGAGAGGTGATTTGGGAACTACTTCGCTACTATGGGGTGCCGCCAACATATATACATCTCATCCGACACTTGTACGACAATCCTGCATGCCAAGTAATCCACAAAGGGAAACTCACGGAATACTTCGAAGTGAAGACAGGAGTAGAACAAGCTGGCTGCCTACTATCTCCAATGATTTTCTTGATTTCGGTAGACTGGATAATGCAACAGACAGTGGGTGATGAGGAAACAGGCATAAAAAGGACCCATACAAGAAACTTGGAGGATCTAGACTTCGCCGATGATATATGTCTGATTTCCCACAAACTGGAAGATACGCAAGTGAAAAGCAACAAGGCAGAAGAAACATCCAGAGATAGGACTTTAGGTGAACATAGAGAAGACAGAGGTGATGAAGATTTCTGGCCAACAGCAACAGCAGACAACAATCAGCTAAATGGGAGAAATATGAAAGAAGCAACTTCATTTACTTACCTACTTGGGAAGCATCGCTTCAACTACAGGCCAACGGAACTGACGAGGATATCATAGGGAGGATCGGGAAAGCAAGGCAAGCTCTCATTACTTTCAAGTCTGTATGGAGACAGATTAACAGCCCTCAGCATGAAAAATAACATTTGGATTTCCAACTCCAATGTGAATTCAGTGCTACTATACGGATCAGAGACTTGGCGCCGCGTCACGAAGGGCACTTCGAACAAGCTACAGACTTTTATCAACAGCTGTCTTTGCTCAACACTTAAGATCGGATGTCCAGAAAAGATCAGCAACAGGGATCTCTGGGAATGAGCGAACCAAGCCAGCAAGAACCGACTGTGCAACAAATATGCAGGAAGAAATGGAGGTCGATTGGCCATACTTTGAAAAATTATCAAGCGACATCACATTCCACGCTCTTTCGAATGGAACCCGAATGGGAAGCGACGAGTTAGTTGGTCGTCAGTGCGAGGGTGACATGGAGGAGGTCATGTGAAGAGGAGATGAGAGCATTTGAAGAGACGTGGAGCCAGGTGAAAACGTTGACAGAGAACCGAACGCAATGGAGACATGCGGCTGAAGCCCTATGTTCCTTTAGGAATTTAAAGGAAACAATATATATATATATACATATATATATATGTATATATATATATATATATATATATATTAACCGAAGCACTGAACTATATTTATATTTGAGAAAGCCACGTTAAGTTGTACAATGAATTTCGGTTCAGTTTGTGGAAGATTTAAGGTACAAAAAGTGAAACTGAATTCAATTCATTCCACAATCTTCATTATTCTTGGCTTATACAGATTTACAAGGGGAAATAATTGCATGAAATACGCAAATTTTTACGCGAATGACCCAAAGAAAAATCACTTCATTATTTCACTACTAGTTGAAGGCAACCAAATAGTATAGATTATATCTTAAAGTGAGGGCACCAAAAGTAATTAACAATAACTTTGGAATCGGAGATCCTGAGAAACTTAATATTCAGGTGACATACTCCAAACTCGAAACAGGCTCAGTCTATTTCATCGTGAGTAGCAAAGTATCGTTAAAAACTAAAATATAAACTGTGATCTGTATAAAAAATGATGTAACTCATACAACAGGATTCTTATGTACCGGGTTGTAAGTGCGGAGGCCGAAAAACATCAAATTACACGTTAATTGTAAAATAGTGGATTCGGTGCACATCACGGTTATTAATTGATATTGAATAAGAACACCAGCCGGTCCACCGCGCATTACGGACGACACAACTTCACTTCTGCAGCTTCTTACTTTTCATTATTTCCAATCATCTCTGACTCGTACCTGACTTCCAGGCTGGGGTCCTCGGGACGGTAAAAATCTATGATTGGAAACAATTGGTGACATGGCTCAAAGTGATCGTTGTCAATGGCTGGCGCAGATGCATCCACTCCTTGTGACTTATGATTCCCAGTGGAACTGTTTTGTTCTTCGTTATTACCCTTCCTTTGTCTCACACCTCTGCTTACTGTCTTTATTATGCTTTTCTTGTGCTTTCTTCTCTTGCTTTGTATGCTACAAGGAGGGAGTGTGGCGACTTGAACTGGTGCACATTTGTGCAAAGTTCTAAGTCGAAAACAGACAGACAGACTCGTACCTGACCCATATATCCACTTACGGGTCTTTTTTCAATCTCCTTTCCACTCCGCAAATACCCGCGGGCTGTTGGCATACTCTTAAATGGAGTGAGCGACTGCAGATCAAAAAGGACGATTTCATTACTACAATTCTGTACGCCTTTAGTTGTGTATTATGGGACAGTCAGAACTCACCAAGAAACAGCATTATATATATATATATATATATATATATATATGCTTAATTCCTCTCTACACACATATGGGTGTTTATTTACATATATCTATACAAATCTTATCACAGAATTGTATTTGTTTTGTCCTTTTTCGCGTATAAACCAGCTTAGCCGTTCAGTCCGCAACATAAGATACAATTCATGATTGAGCGTTAATGATACTATGGGTGACTTAGCGATACTAATCTCGCAGGCTACGTCATGTTGCTCGTTCACACACAATATGCGAAGCATAATATTAACTACGGATTTAGTGATTGAAAGTAATGACCCAGCTAGCCACAAATATAAAAACCATGAAATAATAAGTGGTTGTGGCGGCCGTAGGCGCTTTGATTCCCAACACTACAGAGTTTTAAATGCTGTTCGAAAACCAGATTACGAACTTTCCACACATGATTCTGTCAAATAGTCACTATATATATTGACTGAGGTTGCGTTGCCATCCAGTCATGTGGAAATCTAATTTAACGTATTCCACTCTGTACTTGACTAAGGAATTGTGTGCAGAAAGTGAAGGTACTGAACCTAACCATTTTGAGCAGATTGTTATAATAATGCAGACTAAAACTCGAGTGACATTACACATATATAAGCCCAAAAATGAACCTTTTGATATTTTAATCCTTGCTGTTTTCTTTGGGAATAAAAATAACATCTAGTATACAAACACTTCATCTATGAGAGAGGGGACATCATTTAGACAGCAATACTACAGGCAGCAATTTCGGTAAGGGAACAAAATTACAGAACATACCGAAGTTGCGTAGGAACATGCAATTCGTTGAGAAAGTTTCCTCCAAAGACAAGACAATCGGAAGGTGTATAAACAGCGTGAATCCAGCCAGATGGAAGGAAGATTGTTTGACCAGGTGAAACATGCAGGTAATATACTGTAGGTTCACCTGTGTCACATGAACCTAAAAAGTTATGAGCTCATCAGTTTGTTGCCAAAAGAAATAAATCTCTTTTGTACATGCTCAAACGCATACCTTTCCTAAGTAGGTCTGCCACGAAATCGGGAAAAAATATTGTTCTGTGGTTGTCATTCATGCACCATTGCCAATAAGCCGAAAGGTATTCAGGAGTAGGTGGCATTAGATAAAATACTTTCTCACCCTGTTTGCAGAAATAGAAAGCGTTATTGGAGGACCTACCCACATTACATGATACCAAACAGACGAGCCACCGAAATCTATATGAAAGTCGGTGTAACTACCCTCCATGCTCAAAAGACAGTATTTTTGAACAGTCGGTGCTACTTCGTCAGATAGTTCATTTTCATCCACATCATCATCTGGCCAACAGGTCGTAACAAGACTGAGTTCGGATACGACGTGTGGTGGATGAACAAACTTGGCTAAGCTGCTTAAATGTAGAAACAATGTTTGTTACCTAGTTCTCGAAAACTCCAAACTTAGCATATTTAACAACACCGGTCGAGTATCATGAGAGAACTGATCAACCAAGTCCCATAGCGGCATCTGTATCTCCATCTGTTGACGGACGTCAATAACATCGACCACGGTGGCAGGATCTGAACAATGTAACATCTGACTGTAATGATTACCAATAAATTTAGTGAGATCCCTATGCGTGAATTTTTCCAGTGGAACTTTGATTCTGAGACCATCCTTTGATCGCACCAACACAGGTTTCCGAAAGCCGTTCGCCATAAAAGTGTGTCCACACACATCACAACCATTCATTACCAATACATAATCTTCAGCACTGTAACATCAACAACATGAATAGACAGCCGATTACCTGGGAAATTCACGAGCCAAAAGCATATCCACAAACTCTTTTGAGCCAGAAAGAACCATCAGACAGTTTAAGAAATAAATTTGAAAATCCTAAATACACAAAAGCGCCCAGTTCTCGGGCAAGCATCAATCCACCAGTCGTAGCGCAAACAGCATATTACGCGGGGAATCACATATTGAGTATATTATCTTAATTGTAGTCGACATTTTTTATCCTTGTAGTTCGAAGATAAAAACACATTAAAGAGTGAAATTTAAAGAATTATTAGATAATCTTTAGTCACCAAAGATTTTTACTTTTGACTTAGTCCCCCAGAAAACCTGGTGGATGTAATTTAAGATAATTTATCTCATTAAAGTCGTCCATACCTTAAGTTCATTCTTTCAAAGATAAAGACAGTGAACTTTCTTATAAGTCTGTGACTCTTTATAAACATGTTTGAGAAATTTGGGTATCTTATACATTTGAATACTACGTTAGGACTTATCTGGGAAGAGATCCAGCTACAAACACACACGCAAATGTCTTAAACAGCACGAGGAAAATAGTAAGAGACGGGAATCTTGGTTCCAGAAATTTCAAGGAGTTTAACAAACGCGATTATTACTATTTATTATTACACTGGTTTCCTAGTGTAATCTGGAGCTTTAACAGCACATTTCTACTTCACACACTTCTCTAAAGTCCTTCCAGCTGTCCATAGGATTGCCAATAAGCTTTCGCTAATTCCTCACACAACTTATGTCACGTCATGCTTGGATAACGTCTGTCTCAACGCTTCCCAATAGAGCTCCACTAGATGTCAGGGAAGGTTAATAATGTCAGTCAAGGGTCTTTTTAGCGTGTATCCTATCCTTCTCTGTTTCTTATGGCACTTATGTTGGTAAATGTGTTGCTGGTTGGTGGCTTGGTTGTCAGAGTTTCCTAATGGTCATTCTTTCTATTTATCTGATCTTCAGCACTAAGCGAGGTCCCGACTCCCTCTGACTTCTGACTTCCACATTTATTATAATGTAGTGAGAGCTAATTCAATCCTGCTCTTGACATCAACGTAAGTCCCGCTTATTCGGAACGATTCTGAGTAGATGTGTGAAATAACTTCTCTCAGATTGCTTCCAGTGATGGTGACTCAGTCGGTCGCTAGGATCTTTCACCCCCTCTTTGGGTCTATGTGACTTCAGACAAAGTAATCCTTATTGTTCAAATTTTCAGCAGTTATATAATCAATGTTTATATGAAAATATACATTGTTGTTAATATTATAACCCAATAGATGTCCATCTTCTCGTATGATCTAATCTACCACAGTTGTTATTATCATTGATCACATAAGACATAGTTTTCCTTTTCCAGTTATCACTTCAAAATACTCACCATTCTTTCGGTTGTGAATCGCCTGATATGTGATGCCTTCGTCTTGGATTTAATATGCTATACGAAGTTACAGAATACTGCATACTGTTAAGGCGGTTTCCGAACTACTTCACGGTTAGCTTTGTCGAAAGTATATTCAAAATACATAAGGTTAAGGCAGAATTGATTACTATTCTATGCTTTGCTCAGTGAATACAGTAAACGTAGTGACATCCTTGAAACTGTGTACGTATGGAAGGAGTAATACATCCGGCGTATTTTAGTCTCAACACGAGAAAGCCACTTAATATCTCGATCCAAATCGAAACCAGCGTGATTATCCAGAGGATAACAAAGTTTCTCAAACCAGTAGAACCTAAGTCGTTGCACCTTCAATGATCATTTTGTTAATGTGCGAGGACTGAAAAGCATTATATAAGTGGAATTTCAGGGAAAAAGAATGCGGTTGTTGAAGGGTTACGTGATTTTATACCTCTATGCTGTCTTCATATCATCGCTAATAAATACACATTTCAGCAGCCGTGAGTGTTGCATTTTCTGTTCACCAGTTGTTGCAGTAATAGGAACAGTCTAGCCACAAGGTTAAGTGAGCAAAGCTGAAGGGCCGGAAGGTAGTGTGGTTAAAGCTCAGGTCCAGCATCACTAACGGCTGCGCAAATGTGTATTTACTACCGATGAAATGAAGAGGGAATAGAGGAACAAAACACCACCACATTACCGCCACTGTCAATAGATTTGAACAGTGAAGGTTTGCTTTTAAAACAGATAGCAATTGGGGGACAACTCGAAGGCGCGAATGATCTGATCGTGTACAAGTTCGACGAAACGATCCAAAACGAATAAAATTACGTCGTAAATTTGTATAAAACATTTGTTTCTAGAATTGTTGTCAGCAACGTCACGTAAACCGTCAATGCCCGGCTCTGGCTACGCTGGGACTCACGCTGTTCCTCGAAGCTTCTCAGAAACGCTTAGTAATAACGGTCGCGAAAACCAAAACACCGATTGGCTACTCGAGAATTCTTTATTGTAACACCAACATATATCCAATGTATAACTAAGCTTTACAACTAAGGTCTATGAACAAATATTACAATAATAAATCACAATATTACTTCTGATGGTTTCCTCCTGACTTCTTTCTGAACAGCGACCGATGAGACGATGACTGGTGTAATGATGCCTCCGCGAAAATTGGGGAAGTTGGTTTTGGGCAAACAACCATGAATCGATCGTTCAATCTTCAACTACATTGACACTCCCCGGCAAAAAAGGGATCCAACCCCTTTTCTCCATCACGACCAATACGCGTTGACTTGGATGCCATTGCGAGAACCTGGGTCACAAGGACAGAGCTGAAATGGAAAACAAACAGAAAAGCCAACACACCACAAGCATACTCACAGCACAATCTCACACATCAACGACGGCCTCCGCCTTCCAGTTAAAGGAATCCCCTTGACACATCCTCTTGCAACACAATCGCCACTTGCTAGAATGACTCTTGCAGAATGCAACGTGACCATAGCACCACCTCAAGATACTCTACGCACATCCTCTTATCTACTCACAGTGGTTAGGACTCTCGCCGGCCATGCATATGGTCCGGGGTTCGAGCCCACGCCGACGCACGCTTGATATCTATGGTCGGCCTGCGAATTTTGGGCTACCGATATCCACGCTGAAAATTCCATAATTGTACCAAAAATACGGTGTGGAATCAAGCTGTAATAAAAAATAAAAAATTACCACTGAAATCGCTTGTCACTTATTCTGCCTCAGTTGTAGTAACGGTGACGTATGCGAGCCTCAGTCGTCTACACTCTTTCTCCCCGGCGTGTGGGATCACAGCTAATCATTATCTCCGTATGCATTTCATTCCCAGCACTAGCCTAGCCTCCCCGGCATATACAACCCATCTGCTGTCTCTAACATCAATCAATTCATTCATTTTTTTAAATTTTTTTTGATTAACAGCTTGATTCCACACACGGATGTAGAAGACTAGAAACAACTTCAGAAGTATTCACGACGAAAATTTTAACAAAATTACGCAATAACAACAAGGTACGAAAACAACAAGTGAGCACAATGAATCCGAAAAACACAAATTGATATGACACATCACACGTATATGCAAACAGTACACATAACCTCGCAGATGACGTCTTGATGAGATTCCTTTGAAGAATTGCAGGACTTACACCAGTACGCCTGCAACCCTTCTCACGTTGACGGTTGTAAGTTGTGGAATGTCCGGACACAAACAAGATTAACCAACAATTACAATAATTGGACCTCACACAATTATTTAACACAAACATATGTACAATCAATACATCACATGTTGTGGATTCTGGCATGACAAACTACCCTTGAAGAATTGCAGGACATACAGCAGTACGCCTACATTCCTTCTCAGGTTGATGATCCAAGTGGAAGTCGTCCGGACACAAACAGAATTACCAACAGCTAGATGACAGATGATATCAATTCAGTATATACAACATGAACATGTGCACAAAATCACACACCAAGCAAATTGGACTGCTCACTGATGCGCTACGCTTTGAAGAATTGTAGGACTTACAGCAGTACGCCTACAACCCCTCTCAGGTTGACGCCCTAGGTTGGAAAATCGTCGCAGAGTTCATTTACTGACCTCCTTCTATCAGCTATATCCTCAAATCTGAACGGTAACACGCCCATGTCATTGTATCGTAGAATATAGATGACCAACAAACACACGACATATCTCATCAACCAAGTGTAGAAACAGAGTAATTTACACCAAAGATAATAGCATTCAAATAGTAACTTGAAACTAGAAATGCCTTTATTCGTGCAAGTCAATTTAACAATTACTCTCTCCTTTACACTTGGCTTATCCTCACTCAAGTGAGCAGTATCTTTCGTCTTTTCAAACGCACCAATACTATCATTGTCATTGCACAAGATACTTGAGTTGATGGGCGTCGTTTTCATTGTGGATGACAACACCAACGACGACTGATTGATACCAGTTGATGAACTTAGCGGTGGATCAGAAGCTGTTGTTGCTCGACTTTCAGAAATTTGTCTACCTGCAAGACCACCACCACTGCTGTCTTTCACTATTAGTTCGGGTTTAGCACTATCATCTGATGATAGGTGGGCTACACGCTGATCAATTACACTGACGGTCTCACAAGTATCCATACCTTCTGCAACTGCAACTGCGTTCAATTCCACTTCACTTTGTAGTTGTACAGAACCTTTGTTCAACTCAGCAGTAGTAGGCATATCCCTCATTTCATCATGATCAACCAAAGACAAATCTACACTATCATGATCATTATCACAAATATTCAATTTACCGTCAACTTCATCATTTTCAAACTCTTTAATAACATCAGTGGATGATTTGGGTTCTTACTCACAAATCCCTAAGGATTTTATACCTTCACTCTGACTAGTAATACCTTGTAAACTTGTGGAGTCAGAACTGCACTCTAAAACTGTAACTCTCTTCTGTGGCATACTATTCAACAATGGCCTACTAATTGCAACTACAGGCTTCTTCACCGCGCTATTGTCGTCACACAATTCGGAGTCAGACCTTGATTTCACACTTAGCTTATCACCAAACTTGGTCACTGATTCACAGCTCACCTTTGTATGCACCTCTTGCAAACGTGTAAAACACAACCGTGTTTGTCTTGCATCTTGTAACTTATCTGTTGAGGATGTACTACGAAACCTGTTACACTCACTAGGTCTACATGCATTACTGGACATCATGCAGCCTTCTCGATATCCAGCTCTCTGAGGCCTATTCGTCATCAGTGATAGCGTTTTGCCCTCAGACTGCTCTATTCTAGGGGTGAGATTCAATATACTGGCAAACTTGCTCATCGATTGA